ACAATTTTTTTTAATGGTAAAACAATACTGTTTTGTTTTAATTGTAATAAAATTGATTGGAAATTATAAATATTGTTGGAACTAATTTCGGATACATAGAACAGGAATATTAAACTTTGAGATATTTAATTTTATTTATTATAGACAAATTATACACTAAAGTCTCGAAACATGTGCTTTTTTGACAGAATGTATAGTAAAATTAATTTATACAATCATACCAATCATCACTATGCCTTATAGGACAATTGTTTAAAGACTTTAGTGTATGATTTGTCTAAAATACATAAAATTAAATATCAAAGTTTAATATTTCTGTCCTATGTATCCTAAATCTATGTAAATAATTACAAATTACTTTATTTCTCTCAATATTTTCTGCAGTTTTCTCCACAAAATCTTAAACTGTGATGTCGTCATCCAAATTGAATTGAATTCCACACATCTTTCTTGAGTAGAATATAATCATTGAAATATTTAAAAAATTCAAAATTAATGTCTTTTAATTTCATCAATGATTTTTTGTATTCAACAAGATTTAACTTACTTTCATCGCTACCATTACTTTCTTCATTTATATCTTTCTATGATAATATACACATACACTAATTTCACTTATAACGAATTTGATCACTCACACTACACTACTCTGGTGAAAACTAAGCAGCTTTGAGTGTGCAATGCAATGTAGCCTGATGCGAATAACCTAATTTGCTGCAGTGCGAGTAACCGAATTCGCTACTTTGATACTTTTTCTGAAGGTTATGCAAATTTGTAACAAGCGCGTCTAGTTGAAACTTGTCAACGCCACTAGCGCCCCTAACGTATAAAAAGCGAAAATGGACATCCCAGACGACGGAGACGATGACTGAAATAGTTTTTCGATATTTTAAACTTTAGACTTTTATATCTAATATCTTTATAGAGCACGTAGAGTAAAAACAAATATACTTTTATTATATAATTTGGACATGCATAATCGATTGAGCCTATTTTTAAATCCAGCTTAGACGTTACTGAGATCCGATAATCTCGGCCCGTCTCAGCTCTCCGGCTCGCGTATAGAGACACGGTCGGTCTTGCGCTGCGTTGCGCACTGTGCGTGAACTTGGCGCAAAACACTACCGTGTCTCTTGATGACAGCTAATTAGTTTCAGCAACTTCCCATGGGACGGACACCCTATATGTGTAATCTGTGTGTGGCTACGAGTTTTTATATAAATTCCAATAATATAAAAGTCTACCGTTTGCGCACGCAACCACGCAATTTGTTTAAAAATAAAAACAAAAATAAAAACAAAAATTTCTGGAATTGCAATTTATACTATAAATAGAATAGTTTGAAACTTGTCAGTTGAAATTTTACAACTATATGCAATAAAGCATTACGTAGTTACATGCATATGTAACGAAATTATCCGAGCGTTGGTCCGTGAGTTACCGGACACTCTCTATATGTATTTTATGTGCAAATGACAATCAACATTAAAAACAAGCTTAAGAAAAATCTGCTCCTCCACTTTCAACAGTAAAAGAGAACTATTGAATTAAAATGTGATGGTTTATAAGCTGTAAAGATGTATCTCACTCTAATCCAAAAACGGCAATAAATGAAGAAAATGTGCAAGATAACAAGTAACCTCCGTTTGAAGTTGAAAGGGATAGCGGACATAACAAACGTCTCGAAAGAATGCATATACACTATCTTATATAAATATTTAAACATGAGAAAGTTATTCTCATTTTCTGAGAAAGTTATTTCGGATGCAGCGATGGTGCAGCGTTTACTGACCAAGGAAAGACGCATTCAAGCGCAAGTTTCAAGCAACACTGCTGACAACACGCAAGATTAACCTGAACTTTAATTTTAACTTTAATAGAAACGACTGTATTTAAATTAAAAGTTCTATTATATAGTTCTATTATACATATAGTGATTAAAGACCATTAGAGATAAAAAAGTTTTAGTCGTAATCTTAAGGCGTAAGCAAATCAACCAATCACAACAATGAGCAGTAATGCGAGCGCCTTACGGTTACGACTAAAACTTTTTTACGTGTAATGACCTATACGGTTATTTACTAACGTGTGTATTTATTTAACGTGTTAACGCTTGTATTGCGACAGTGAGACAGTCATGTATATGTGGATATTATTAGGTATTTACAGAATATAAATGTAAAAATATTTTATTTGAGTTA